TTGTGAAGGTAAATGCTGGAAGCTCAGTTTATGCAGGTATTCCATGATTTTCTCTCCAAGCCTGGCATTATGACTATCTGTGTTTAATTGTTCGACGTGAGAAACCTGTGTACTTCAACTCGCTCAACTGCAGATGATCTACGCTATGGAAGTACCCGGGGACAGTGATTCACCAAAGGTAGTGGTTTAAAACTTATCGGAGTTGAGCTATGTCGAGAATGTCCACTAACTCAAGTGAAATCTTTCGGAATTTGAACGAGAGACAACTCACTCAACCACAGTTTCACGCATTGATAACAGTAATTTGACAATGGGCGGACCCAAAAAAACTTCAGCTCGTTTTGAGAGCCCAGCGAAACAGTTATCTACGAGGGATTTATCTACACTACTACTACTACTACACTAACGAAGAATTACCACCTGAAGAGCGAAGCGAATTAAAGTTAAATACTAAATCACGTTGTGGAAGATAGCTGTTTAGCCGGCTAACACGTGATGTGTCTCGGTCCAAGGACACAGAATCACTCAAAACGTTTTCGTTTCTCAGGGGGTTTGTTTAAATTTTCTTACCAAACAGCTGCGAGCACAAGATCATGAGATACGCTCCGTGGACATGGTCTTCAATGCCAGTTACTATGGAACCATATATTTTCAAGAACCAAAATGTACAACGGCGATCAGTTGGAAGAACTCCAGCTATCATTCCCCCATCTAAAATTACAAATATAGACAACCTTAAAGGAACCTTTAGAGACTTAATGTTCTGAAATCCACTTGGTGGGAAGCTTTATGGAACACACTTTTACACCTATTGGTGATTTTCTGAGGCTCTTTTGTAACCGTAATCATATCTTCACTCAGTTATTCATTTCTCCTCACCCCGTATGATCGTGACTCCTTTGCTTCTCATTCATGGAGAACAGCTGAGCTTGTATGTGTAGAACAAAGTAATGAGTAACAGGGATGTGGAGTCCTGCTCTTTACAAACTTTATCAAATTAACTTTGTAATGTACTACTCAGGGCTGCTGAAAATCCATCGACAGCCCACGACCGGTTTAACTTCCTCCAGACTACTAATGTGACCGTCAAAAATTCGAACGTAAGATGTAAAGGTTATTTTACATGTTCAATTACTTCTGTCGGATTCAGAAACCATAGAATCCAAAGCAGGGATTAAGTTTCAAGTGATGTGCTGTGCGCTATGTGTGTCTCAGCGCAACTTTTGACATTGAATCAATGATTGACTAGGATCACTTTCGGCATGTCGTTCATATGACTACTTGTACAAACAATGCTACTTTTCCTCACCAAGTATGAAGTACTATTCAGGCAGCCAAGGCGAGACTGGTAAAGCCTACTCGTCCAGACAACTGATTAATTCCGTTTTCATCCTGGTTGTAAATTCTGTTTAGCCCTGGCGCCTAAAGCAGCCCAGGGCATCATCTTGTCTCCTCAACTTCCTTGGTGAAGTTAAATGCTCTGTCGTTTATGGTCACTTCAGTATTTGTCAGCTCTTTGATTATAAGCCACATCTTCTTGGTTTGGTTGGAACTTAGTCTCTTAGTTGTTACGACAAACGTTGCATTAGTTCACTCGCGAAGTAATCGCTGAATACAGTGACAGTTCTCATCATAGTGAGCAATCAACCGCGAAATTGCTTTTGGTAAAACCTCTGTAAGTTGTACAGGAGTGGAGGCCCATTGCTACTTTCCCTCCTGAACAGTCAGTTTCCATGTTGCTACTTCCTCCGTTCATTGAAGGTCCAGGAATCTCAAAAAAGCTGAGATGGTCAACTTTATCAACTATTTAGCCTAATACACCCCAGTACTGATGTTTAAAAGGCAATTTGTAAGGTAAGACTGTGAGCAAATTAATCAACAATTCTTGAAGAATCACTCAAGACCAATCACTGCCTACTACCTACGCTTGACATTTAATGAGAGTCAATTATTTGCAAACCTAGGTCTTGTATAGTCTTACTTGAAAGTGCCACAAGAATTTGATCAACACAGGTCGTATCTGTATGACACCGTCTCAAGCAACGTGTACACAACCAATATTCTATAAAATTATTGGATACCGTGCTCACATGAGTGACGTCATCGTCAAGAATTGCACACTTCATGAACCTTGAGCGTATCGGGAACCATCATTTTTATCTCAAAGTGGATAACGGTCAGTTTTTTCGCCTTTTTTGAATTTTTTCGCTGTATTCCGAATTTTATTTCCTGTCAGCACTGTTGCCAGTGCACGCTAACCCCCACTAATACAAATACACCTCGATTAGTTTTGGGATTAACCGATGAACCTAGTGCACTCGTACTTGCTATTGATGCTGCGCGTGTGGCTACTCGGCGAGCTGCTGTCTCGAATACGAAGTCTTATTGGTTAATGTCAAAAGCCCTTCGTCACAGTCAAAGTGTTGCTAACCCCAGACTTCCTCACACACCCTGACCCATTACTACGTGGGTCGAACCAGGGTATCGATGCGGTTTCCTGACACGTCTTTCGTGAGAGGAGTGACAGAGCTATTGCACACGCTGTCTGTTGGTTAAAAGGCGATCAGACGATTACCATCATCAGCTGCGGCTGCAAAAACTACGTACTTGTTGAAATCTCCTTGTCCGTGATTAAACTGACCATCAGTCTGAGGTGGATAGCTACGCACTGGAGATAGCAACTCGTATACCTGATGCATGAATACAGGCGTGTCAGTGTACTTTCCATTCCGGAGATCCAGAGAGTAAACTGTGCACTGGAGGCAACAGCTTGGATGCCTTTGAGCTCGCCACTGGACTGTGTCCAATAATGTATCTAGTCGAAATAATCCACGGATCTTGAAAATGTCTTACAGTATGGCTTACGGAAGGCACCTTACTCATAACCTTCCATCTACCTCTGTTAGTAATAACTGGCTGCAAGGGAAGCATTCTTGCTTGTCGTACCAGCTTAAACAGCGCCAGGTAACTACCTTGGCTGAAACGATTCCAGTAACTAGTATCATCATTCAGTCAGCTTTGAATATACTGATGCTTATTCTCTACCAATCAGATTTCATAAGTCATCTGACTTTACCCGTCCAAATAAATGCATCAGTAATTTGCTTGCTGTTGTTGCGTCCTCTAATTTCACCGATTTTTTCTCCTCTCAGTCGCTCTTATTCTGATACTACAATATTCACTCTTGAATGTCTTATCAGTTTGGCAGTCTAGAAGCATGAGTCTTCAATCACGGAGCATAGTTTCGTATGCAACGAAAACGACGTTATTCATCAGAGTTCACTTCCTTATTGCCAACGATCACTTAGTCAGGCACAGCTTCTTGCCGACAAATTCAAACAAGTATTCGTCAGATCAAACTGGGAAGAGGAGCTAAGAGGACATCCTCAAGCCCTTGAAGTTTCACTAGCTCCCTACCGTTCAATTTTCTTCCCATTGTTTACTATGGTCTTCTTCTCTTACGGCTGAATGGCAGTTAATTTCCAGTAGGTATTACTGGTGCATGTGCCAGTAATGAGGATAATGATGTGCAAAACACATGTCTGCTCACGTTTCTCCATGATGACAGATGAACTAGTCAATACAAAACGGTCCACAAAATCCATACTCATTGAACTTACGTAATAATCGCAGTATTTTCGTAGATATCATCAGTGTTGCTGAGTAACTACTTTGTTTTTGTATAAACTTTTATTGCAACGGTAAATCTGCCATGATACTACCGTCCGAGCTCGATGTCCTGCGAACACAACATGCCAGTTCAGTTCTTCCAGCAGCATAGCCTTATAGACAGTCAATAGTATGTGCTTGTGTGCTGCTTCGTTTGTGTTCTACTTCTGTGAAACCTACAGCAAACATTGACCGAACATGCCTTGGATGATGTTCATACATAATATGGTTCTGTTTTTCACCCAATGGTCTATCCAACTAGAATATGTTGTTCCAGAATCCGTTAGCATTACAGATGGTTGTGTATGGTTTCGCTCACTTCAGACAGGTTCATGGTTTTGATGACTACTTGATAGGACGAACAACCGAATAAAGGGTATATGAACAGTTAATCGAAGTGGCAGGCGAGTGATCCCCTATACCAAACTGGGGAGTCTTAGTCAGTAG